TCAGGGCTGGCTGGGCCTGAGCCGGGTTCTGGTACCTTGAAGGACAAAAGGGAGGTGAGAAGGTGGACTCAGATCATCCTTAACGTTCACTGGCCACCTTCTGTAGGACAGGTTTCTATGTTAATGCATTTAATTCTCACAATGACCTGGAGGGAGATAATATCCAGAGCCTTACTTTACAGGGGAGGAAACTGAGGCACAGAAAGTTTAAGCAAAAGATCATATAGTTAGATGTGGCAGGACTAGGAGCTAAAGTCTCGAGAATCCAAACTCCTGGCTTCTCAGACGCTGGGATTCCAGAAATGGGGCAGCTGCTATAGAGACTGACGTGAAGCCGTGGTTATTCATTTTTAAATTATTTTTTAAGGCTACCAGAGATTGAGGCATGTTTATAGACTGAAAGGAAAGTGCCTGGAGACGTGGTGAGAGTGATGATTAATGGAGCAAGGTCCAGGAAGATAAGGCCAAACCCTGGAGTTGGCAGTTTGTTAGCAGTGCTGGGGGCGGGGGGAGGCAGCCAGATGGAAGTAGAGGAGGCAAGGGCTTAAGAGCCTCCAGCAAGCAATGCATGAGAGGTGGGCACAGCCACGTGGAACCAGCTGACCGCAGAGACATCAGAAAGGGATATAGGGTAGGACCGGATGCAAATCGTGTTTTGGAAGACAAAGCTCAGAAGCTGGTAGACCAAAGGCTTAGAGGACTGCATCCCACGTAACATGAATGCACTGAACTAGAAACAATACCTTAAAAAACCAACTTCAGCTGAATTCCCAAGAGCAGCCTGACTTTTTCCTTTCCTCAGATCTTCACAGGAGTGGATGCTTAGCCTCAAATTAGTAACTTATTTACAATCTTTATCATGAGCCGAAAAGATGCTGGGTTTGCGATTGGCATTTAACAATTCTGAGTTACGTTCTGATGAGGACAGCTGCTTGCTCCCCGCATTCGCCACCTTGTATCACCTACTGTATACATGTGCTCAGCTCGCTGAAATGCCTCAGCCCCTGGACCTTCACACAGATGCCCGAGTGAGGCTGGGCCCGTGGGTGACCTGTCTTAACACCTGTGTCTCAGCCAGGAAGCTTCACAGCTGGGATTTAAATCCATATCTGCTAGACACTTAAGTCAAGAGCTCGGCCACCATGCAAACACACCTATTCCCCCATCCTTCCATCGGATTTTGTTCTAAAGGTCTTACAGGAACGGTAAGATGAACAGCTTGTAAGATGCTCAGAAAACAGACTGGATATAGTTGATGTCTTCATTGGTTTTTCTTTAAAATACATAAAATACCTTATTTTTAAATTTTAAGAATTTTTATACTAAATAAAATTCAAATGCTGATTTCAGATATATTTTAAAAGGGTGATGTTGGGACTTCCCTGGTGGTCCAGTGGCTAAAACTCCACACTCCCAGTGCAAGGGGCCTGGATTCAATCCCTGGTCAGGCAACTAGATCTGGCATGTTGCAATTAAGACCCAGGTAGCAAAATATATATGCATATAATTTTTGAAAGGGTGATTTTACTACACAGAATTAACTGTCACACCTTGACTCTGTTTTCTCCCAGACTTTCTATAGACATATGCAGTGTGTATGTGTATATATGTGTGTGTGGATATATTTCTTCACATAAAGAGTATCTATCATAGTGAACATATAAACACATAGAAATATAGTTTCAACACCATTTTTGATGGCTGCCTTGAAATACTTTATAAAGGTTTATCTGTGCCACAATGTCTTGGGAAGATAGATGATCATGAATAAGAGTGTCTTGCAATTTTCTTAATAGATACTGGGAGGAAATCTGTTCAGATTTTTAAATAACTTGTATTGGGGTGCCATGACTGTTTAATGTGAACCTGGCTGATGATGGGAGATGGAGGGTGGTAGGGAAGAAGTGGTTAAGGGCACAGGCTCTCAGAAGCCAGACTGCCTGGGCTTGAATCCCAGCCCCCAGTTCCCCATTTGTTAGCCATGTGACCTTGAGCAAGTCGCTTATTCTCTCTGTGCCTGTTTCCTGATCTGCATATAGGAGAACGATAGTACCTAAATGAGTTAGTTCATTCAAAGTGCTTAGAACAGTGCCTGGCTCCTAGTGACATTCAACCCATGTTTGTGTTTCAAAATACATTTGCTTGTATTATGTAAATATTCAAGTGACTGAGTCGTTTCATCCAAAATATCCAGAGTCAGTCTGACACAGGTGAGGAAGATATAGAAGTGTTTCGTGTTGATGCCGGAGGTGGAAAATGAGGGTCTGTATTTTTACAAAACTTTACAAGTGAGTGAGTTTTAGGATCAGCTGGGTTCACAATACACTGGCCTAGAACACTGGACACAGATGAACAGAAGTTGGATGGTGGGTGAGGTTGGATTTAGAAGAGTTTGAGATACCGCCCCCCACCGCCCAGACGCAGAAGTCCTTTATTTGTAGTAACACAGGGTGATATGAGATTTAAAACTGGAACTTTGTCAGCTGAGAATCAGTTGAGATAAAAATGGCCAAAGCCATGAAAGAAGAAACCTGCAAGTAGAATAGGCTTCTTTCCGAAGTTAATCAGTACTTTTTTGGGTAGGGATTTTTTTTTCTTCTTTTTGTGCCATTTGGTTTGTATTCAGAGATATATTTTTGTTTATTTAGCATGTGTTGGGCACTGTGCAGTTTTTATGTGTAGTTTTTATGCTTTATTTCATGTAGACTTCCAGGCCAGGAAGTTAGTTGTGTGAAGTATTGTTCCCATTTCACAAATGACAAAACTGAAATTTGAAGAAGTTAAATAATTTGCACATGATACAGTATCCATTTCCCCTTTCTTTAATGACACAGTACTAATTTTATTTGGAGTGGTGAAAAAACTACATTTCCAGTATCCCTTGTAGCTAGGTGATCAAGTGCCTACATTCTAGCTAAGGAGATGCAAAAGGAAATACTATGTGGCCCTTCTGGGACGATTCTTTAAATAGTGTTGACTCTGCCATAAGATCCTTCTCCATTCCTTCTTCCTGAAGCCTGAAATGCAGATGTGGTGACAGGAGCTTCAGTAGGTATTTTGCAGTTTGAAGATATAAAGCATGTATTAGCTGGTGATGGAAAAAGAAGGGACTTTGGTCTCTGATGACTGCAGAACTGCTGTACCCACCCTGGGCTGTTTGTCTTTGACTTATATAAAAGATAAATAAACTCCTGTCTTGTTCAAGTCCCTCTTAACAGACAAACATGATGCTAAATATAATAATAGTTTGTGCTTATACTATGCTTTATTAAAGCTAACTAAATGCCAGACACTTTTCTAAGTGGTTTGTACAAATCGACTCATTTCAATCCTCACAACAACCTTATGATGTAGGGTTGAAACAAAGAGAAGGTCAGTGACTTGCCCAAGGTCACACGGTTGAAAAAGAGCCAGCAAATTCACAGCTAATAGGAATCAGACGTGGGAGTAAAACTCAGGTCTGTCTAACACCCAGGAGCATAACAATTATACTATTTGGCTTCTTTCATGCTCAGTATGATGTAGCAAGCTTTGTGGTTTTCCTGACCTAAACTTTACCTTCTGCTATTATTCACAAAATAGAGGGCTCCCAGCAGACAGCCATTAAAAGGAGGCCTACAGTTTCTCCAGATGATCAAAACAGCCCCCTTAGGACCCACCTCAGAGCCCTAAATCTTGAGTAAAACTTCCATAAGAAATGTCAAAAAGCTAACTATTTTAAAAAAGCATTCACGTAATCCTGTTTGCCATTGTTTCCATCACAAAACTGTTTAGCTTTTCAAAAAAATCAAATTGTTGAATGGAGGGATCCATCCATCCATCCATTCAACATTCAAGCACCTGCTCTGAGCCAGCCACTCTCCCAGGTGCTAGGACATTGCAGGACTGACCACAAGGAGAGGAGAGGCAGGTAACCCACAAGAGAATACCAGGCACAAACAGGCGCTGCAAAGGAAAGAAGTGTGTGGGAGAGGAAGAGATACCTGAGCTGAGACTTGAAAGAGAGAAGGAAGTTCCTTGAGAGGAGCAGGAAGGGATCTTGAAGGCTGCTGCTGCTGCTGCTAAGTCACTTCAGTTGTGTCCAACTCTGTGTGACCCCACAGACGGCAGCCCACCAGGCTCTGCCGTCCCTGGGATTCTCCAGGCAAGAACACTGGAGTGGGTTGCCATTTCCTTCTCCAATGAAGGAAAGTGAAAAGTGAAGGTGAAGTCGCTTAGTCGTGTCCAACTCTTCGCGACCCCATGGACTGCAGCCTACCAGGCTCCTCCATCCATGGGATTTTCCAGGCAAGAGTACTGGAGTGGGGTGCCATTGCCTTCTCCGCTTAAAGGCTGAGGGAACAGCAATTCCTTGGGGGGGTTGGAACGAGTGTGGCCTGTGGAAGGGATAGACAGAATCTCCTTGGGACTGGGACATGAAGCTAGGGAGAGAGGCCATGCGGTCAGGTCAGAAAGTCTGATGGGCCGGGTCATGCCAGGTGGGAAAGCCAGGTTTGGGGATTTTATTCTACATGATAGAGGAATTTAGGATTCCTAAATTCCAGCCAGGAAAGAGGGTTTTAGGCAGTATGGTAGACATTTGTCACTGGCTAGCCAGCATTCAAAAGCTCTTCTCATTTTGGGGAATCACAAAACTAATGTGAGGCAGAATCCTAGCTCCAAGGCTTTTAGAAGCCAAACATAAAAGAACGTATTTTCTCTGCTCTCCCGCGGCAAACAGAATAAGGCCAAACCATGCTCCTCCTTGGGGCTCTGAATCATGAGGTCATTTCTCAAAGGTGCAAGGTCAGTTAGAAATCATTCGGGTGACAGTGCTACAGTCAGGAGGGCATGGGGATGAGCGTTTAGGGGCAGCAGAGTCCAGCATATGGTGACCAATGTCCACTGGCGCCTGGATGCCTGTAAGTGTCCAGGGATTAATAATTGCAAGAAGCAGCTCTGACCACCTAAGACTGGAGAACAGGTGTGTCACCTGTACAGAGTTGCTTGGCAGAAGGGCTCTAGGGGACTGGTGCTTGCATCTCTGAAGGAAACACTGTCCTGCTCAGATCTCTGAAGGGGTGCTGATTGGGGGCTTCCACAAAAGAGACCGCCACCAGGGACACAGCTCTGTAGGTGAGGGAGTGTGGCATGACTACTACTGGCAGCTGGGGGTGCTGGGCCCAGTTGGGGTGCTGGGTGCAGTTGGGGTGCAGGGCACAGTTGAAGTCTCTAGAAGCAGAAGCCAATTATATGCTGCTGTGGAGAAACCTTGAAAAGCAGGAAGTGAAAAACAAGAAAAGAGTCTCTTCTCTTTTCCTTATACTTTTCTTTCTCCTTTTAATGACACACACCTAAGGGAGAAGGAAATGGCAACCCACTCCAGTATTCTTGCCTAGAGAATCCTGTGGATGGAGGAGCCTGGTGGGCTGCTGTCCACAGGGTTGCATAGAGTCGGAAACGACTGAAGTGGCTTAGCATGCATGCATGCATTGGAGAAGGCAATGGCAACCCACTCCAGTATCCTTGCCTGGAGAATCCCAGGGACAGAGGAACTTGGTGGGCTGCCGTCTATGAGGTCACACAAAGTCGGATAGACTGAAGCAACATGACTGAAGTGACTTAGCAGCGGCAGCAGCAGAACCTAACAGAAAGCCAGTTTAGCTGGGAGGTGGGGAGGTTTCCTTTGCATCATCCCAAACCCATATTACAGAGAAGAGCTTATCCTGGAAAACATGAAAGAAGTGTTAGTCATTCAGTCTCAACTCTTTGTGACTCCAAGGACTGCAGCCCGCCAGGCTCCTCTTTCCATGGGATTCTCCCTCCAGGCAAGAATGCTGGAGTGGGTTGCCATTCTCTTCTCCAGGGGATCGTCCCAACCCAGGGATCGAACCCTGGTCTCTTGCATTGCAGGCAGATTCTTTACTGTCTGAGCCACCAGGATATCCCGGAAACCAGGATAAATATCCAGCACAGGAGCATCAGGTCCAGTTAAAAGATCACTGCAGTCAGCCAGGAGAGAGAGGATAGCGGCATGGACTAGCGCACCAGCGGTGAAGATGGAAGAAACAGGGCAAAAAGACAGCACCCGCTGGAGCAGAGCTGCAGCTCCCGGTATGATACTTGGTGCCACAAACGGATCTATAGATCTGTCGCAAGCTCAGTTCCCCAGGCCAGTCGACACCTTGGCAGCTCGGGCGTGTCACACCTCGAGCCGCTGTCCGTACGCAGCTCCCACACCGGTGTGCAGGAGCGCATGCGCAAAGGGTCCTCACGGCCCCAGAGGAGACCGTCCTAAAGGTGCCGGCAAAGCCCCTGACCGCATGCCCTGGCTGGAGCAGTCCAAGAATATGACCATCTGCAGTGTCCTCGGGCCCTCACCCTAACCCCAAGGAAGAAGTGACCCAGTATTTGAGGAAGTTCGATTACTCAAATGAGAACTGTTCTCAGTTTCTTTGATATATGTGAATATCAGCCGGATCCAGAAACAGCACGCCCTCCATCTCTAAGCAGCATACCCTCCTTTCAGTGGGCAGTTCGGTAGTCTGTGTGTGTGTTAGTCACTCAGTCCTGTCTGACTCTGTGCGACCCCGTGGACTGCAGCCCTCCAGGCTCCCCTGTCCAGGGAATTCTCCGGGCGAGGATACTGGAGTGGGTTGCCGTTTCATTCTACAGGTCTTCTCTCTATGTTAGGACAGTTTCTGAAGCGACAAACACGTGTTCATATTAAAGTAGTCATTATGATGCTAAATGAGAAAACAGACGGCGAGAAGTTGATTTGAGATTAGAGAGAAAATGGACAAGAATTTCCTCTGTGAGCTTAGATATGAATTTAATATTTACGTTATCTGTACACCTCCTAGATGTCTGAGTAAGAGCTCAATAAGGGACGGAGAAGCGCCCAGAGATTCAAGGCCAGAGAGGCTGCTAGAATGCCGAGACCTGACGGGGAGGGAGAGCGCTGCAGCAAGGATGAGGAGCCGCAAGTGGGAGCTAAGCCACAAGGAAGAAACAGGTAGAGGGGGATAAACGCCCTGCCCAGCCTTTCCACTTACTCTCAATCTCCTGCCGTATCTCCCAACCAGAAACCAGAGTGTCAAGGAGTCCAGATACTGCAGTAGATGGAGATCAGCCTGCCAGGCGCAGGGCAATAGGGGCAAAGAGAGAATATGCAACACATACATTATAGACAATGAATGTTTTCTCTACTTACTTCATTATATTTGAATAGCCTTGAACTATCTAAGGTAGTTTCATATCAATTATTTCTTTTTATACTCAAGAATGCTGTGATGATTACTTTTAAACCTCAACTTGACTACCTCACAGGGTGCCCAGATATTTGGTCAAACTTTGGGGGCTGCTGTGAGGGTGTTTTTGAATGAAACGAACATTTGAATCCATAAAGTGAGTGAAGCAGACTGCCCTCCCTAATGTGGGTGGGCCTCGTTTAATCTGAGAAAGACCTGAACAGAATAAAAATGACTGACTCTCCCTCAAATAAGAGGGAACCTGACTGCCTTGGACATGAGCATGAGTTTTTTTCCCTGCATTTGGACTTGAATTGAGATATTAGCTCTTCTTGAGCCTTGAACCTGCTGGCTTTTGGACTAGAAATACACCACCAGCTGTTTCTGGGTCCTCAGCTTGCTGACTATAGACCTGGACACTGATCAGCCTCCATGATTGTATGAGCCAGTTCTTTGTAATAACTAAATCTCTCTCTCTTTGTACTCTTATTGACTTTGTTCCTCTGGAGAACCCTGGCTAATTCAAGTGCCTTTTGATGTAAGCAGGGCAAGTATTATCTTCAGAAAAAAGCAAATACAACATTTTGGAAGCCTCAGGACACAAATTAAAATACATTAGGTTGGCCTAAAAGTTCATTTGGGTTTTTCTGTAATATGTTCTGGAAAAACTCAAACGAATTTTTTGGCCAACCCAATAGGGCTTAGCTCTCCTTCTTTTGCTATGCCTATTTAAACTGTGCTTACACTGTTTATCAAACTCTCAATAGAGGCAAAGTTTTTATACTTCCTTCTAAGACAGCATCTACTCACTCACCCAAGTAAAACCTTGAAACTCCCTTACTTTCATTTCCGTGTCCAAAATTGTGGCCCAGCTTTCCAAATATCTCTTTAATCTACTCTCTTCCACGTTTCTCCACAATTTATGCCCTCCCCTTTTCTTCCTTGGAGTAATTATGTATTTGTAATTCTGCCTAATTATATACTGTGTGATTGTTCATGAGATTTGTCTCCTACACTGAGTTCAGATCCACAACCCACTGTTGTGATTCCAGCTCTTGCCACACACAGAAGTCTCAAAATATTTGCTGTTGGGTTAACTGGTCTTCCTGTCAAATCTCTTACTGTCTCTAATCATACTGCGAACAGTGAACTTTTAATATGCAAATCTGATCTTTCCACTTTTCTGTCTAAAAGCTTCCTTTGGTTTAGCAGAAGTTAAGTTACAAACTAGAGGCCTGTGACCTTGTCTAAGGATGTTTTGTTTTAGCTCCCGCAATGGTTTTTTTTTTTTTTACATAATTGCCAACTTTAAAAAAATCTGATAAAATCTGATAAAAATCAGACATTCCAGCTCTTCCCAAAAAGATTTGGCAACCAGGGTAAGTTTCAATGTCTTCTGCTGACTTCTAGGGCCTTCCAACGGTCTCACCCTGCCTGCAGCTCCTCCATCAGTGCCTCCTGGGCTCCAGATTCACGCAGGCTGTTTACAGGAGATGATGTGTCTTCTTTTCTCTGTGATTTTGTCCTGGGAAATCTCTAAGGCCCTTCTGACCAACGTCCACACCTCCTCATCCACCTTTGGGCTCTTATTCAGCCTACAAGACCCCACTTGGCTCACCTCCTCTGGGAAGGCTTTCTCTCTGACAGTAGTCATTCCTCCTTAAAGTACAACTCACTTCATTTTGGAATTATTTGTAACCTGTATGACCTCTTTCACCAGATTAAAGTGCCAATATAATCACATCTCTCCTGAGCATTAAATAAATAGCTCACAGTCTCCTTTCCCCTATCACTGGGAACCCCAGTCACCCACATTCAAGAAATACAACTGGAGAACCTCATCAATGCCCTGGCACACCCCTGTTTTCCACTATGACAGATTCTGTTACTCTACAGGGTGGATAGTGAAAGTTGATTTTGTAAAATAGTGTGTATTTGTCTACTGCTGAGATGATAGTCTTGCAAGTTAATATTCCTCACTGGCCACACAGTCCTCTGGGACAAGGTGACTTCATTCCTTCAGTGTTGTCCTCAGATGGAAGTGTAGCTCTTTAACTTACAATCTTGTGCTTACTCTTTCTCTCAAACCCACCCTCCGCACCAGGCTGGCTGGGACATGAGGGTCTGCCCAGGGACTCCCCCTTTGCTCCTGGTAAGTTCTCTCTGAGACTTTTCCCTCCTGTCTCAACAGCAGACCTCAATAAAGATCATCCCATTTATCAGAGAGGTTATAATAATAGCATTGAACTTCACAAAGGAGAGGGTCCTAGTCTCTATGCTTCTCCTCCCAGGAGGCTCCTTGTCTCCTATGCAAAAATATCCTCTTTTTCCACAGCAGACCAGCTCTATACACTGTGACACTTGAATTGTGATGCAGTTGCACCAGAGGCCTCAGGTGCAACTGATCCCACCAGGACCTGAGGGCTGGGGTGACCCTTCAGTGCCCATCTCCAGTGGAGGCGAGGAGGCTGACCATTGTACCCTCTCAATGCTCAGTCATTAGCGAGTCACGGCATGTAGACTAACCAACTCTGGAGGACGTAACCTAGGAAGAAGCAGCTCCCATCTGCCAAGGGCAATTCCTGAGGGTGGACTCATCCGTGAGCCTTTAAAATGAGCACACTATACATGGGGGTAAGTGTCTCAGGCTTAGCAGGGGGCCTGCCAGTGCACTGGTGTCCTCTCTACACCCGTCTGGGCACAATCGGTGTATCGCCCTATCTCCTCCCCTGTACTCTAAGCACCTTGGGGGCAGAAACCAGGCATGCCCAAGAGTCCATGAAATAATGAGTCCACTCCATTGGTAACCATCAGATAAATCAATAAATGCATACAGGAAAGAGTAAATATTATACACTGTTGGTGGGAATGCAAACTAGGATAGCCACTATGGAGAACAGTGTGGAGATTCCTTAAAAAACTGGAAATAGAACTGCCATATGACCCAGCAATCCCACTCCTGGGCATATACACCGAGGAAACCAGATCTGAAAGAGACATGTGCACCCCAATGTTCATCACAGCACTGTTTATAATAGCCAGGACATGGAAGCAACCTAGATGCCCATCAGCAGATGAATGGATAAGAAAGCTGTGGTACATATACACCATGGAATATTACTCAGCCATTAAAAAGAATTCATTTGAATCAGTTCTAATGAGATGGATGAAACTGGAGCCCATTATACAGAGTGAAATAAGCCAGAAAGATAAAGACCAATACAGTATACTAACGCATATATATGGAATTTAAAAAGATGGTAATGATAACCCTATATGCAAAACAGAAAAAGAGACATAGATGTACAGAACAGACTTTGGGACTCTGTTGGAGAAGGCGCGGGTGGGATGTTCTGAGAGAATAGCATTGAAACAAGTATACTATCAAGGGTGAAACAGATCACCAGCCTGGGTTGGATGTATGAGACGGGTGCTCAGGGCTGGTGCACTGGGAAGACCCAGAGGGATCGGATGGGGAGGGAGGCGGGAGGGGGGATCAGGATGAGGAACACATGCAAATCCATGGCTGATTCATGTCAATGTATGGGAAAAACCACTATAATATTGTAAAGTAATTAGCCTCCAACTAATAAAAAGAAAAAAAAGAAAGAGTAAATATTAGCCTAATGACTCTGTAATAAATTATTGGTTGCATTTATGTATAACTTTGCATATGTAAATTATTCTGCTAAAAATATATGTTATAAATATGTAAGTGCTGCAAGCAATAATTTTTAACAAAAACTGTCATCAAAATGAATTAATAATTTAGTGGGCACAAACTAGGAGCATGACCCTGCATTAGTCAACCTTCCTAGAATGCATCTGCCTTAATAATGGAACTATTTAAAGGTTTCAGAGCTGGCATCTTAATTCATCTCTTAAATTACTTTTTAAACCTTCTAGTGTGTTAGATAAATATCCACTCATCATGCCTAAAACCTGTTTTCATTATATAGAGTTTCCAAAGTTTATTGAGTATTTTATCCTTGCTATGAAATTTTTTGATCTTGGCTGTTTTTGCATCTCTTCTAATGTTTGTAA